AGCAACTTTAACCAACATTACCTTGATGATTAAAAAAAAGACATTAAGAACAGTAGATGTAGAAGGCTTTTGAGAATGAACCTGACGGAGACAGGTTTTAGCATTTAGCATCTAAGAGTAACGTCTTTCCCAGCACTGAATGCCGGATACAAACTGGCAAAAAGTCTGAGAGCACGTCAGAACGACATACCCTTTTTCTTTTTTTGACTGATTTACATCTCTGCGCTTGGAAAATTATAAGTGTCTCACATATTGAATTCATCTTTTTTTTTAGTACCCTTACAGGTTCTGGTTTAGTTATATCTTATAAATAACTTGAATAATGTGTACGAAGAAAATTTTGTTTATTCAGTCAATATCTAAAATTGCTGGCACAATAAATTATTTAAAAAAATGAAGAACTAAAATGTTTACCTCTTCATGTTATGGAAAGATCCTCTTAATCAAAGAGGAAGAAAACTCAGGCTTTTAAGTAAATGGCTGTTTATCAATTTATCTTTTGTCTATCGATTAGAACAGTCAACTTTAGATTAATTAATTGAATGAAAACTTGCATCCCTTTCAGACAACGTGATTTTAAGGTTTTTTCCTAAATGATGCAAGTCTTAATACATGAATAGCATAGTGGGTGACTTTGCTTATTTAAAGGCATAAGAGCTTCCAAGAATGAGCTATACAATGCTTAAGCCCGCTCTAAATTTTAGAAGCATCACCTAAACTCACTTTTAGTTAAAAACATTATTTGTAAATAAATAAATAAATCCCTTCCTATAAAAAGGGACTAATGTGGGTGTTTTATATTACTTGGTTGAATGTTTAAGTTGTTATTGGTACTTCTGTTTTAGCTGCACACTCATTAGCTCACTCTCACTATTAAAACACTGCAGGCAAGACAAGCTGCTGTTAATCAGCATAGTTTTTACATCCTGCTGTTGCTGCATTTTGGTTTTCCACACTTTAAAATTTTGGCATCAAGTTGCAAGGCATTTACTTGCAGGCTGTTTCCAAACCTGACCAGTAGTTTCTAAATATACACAAGGTTCATTTAATTCAATATCCTTAGCTTTTAAATCTCTAAATTGATTTCCTGTCAGAAGAGAATCATTGCATTTTCTGGAATGAGCTCAGCCAATTTCACGTTTAATTTTGAATAAATGCAAGAACATTTCCTTCAATAGGAGGACTTTAATATATGATTTTTATGAAATATGTAAAGTTTAAAGGCTGAGATAAATGAGACACAGCAACAGAGACAATACACTGCCTACATTATAGGCAGAAGTCAGGTAATGATTCTGTCTCTCTGTTTGGTCCTTGTCAGTTTGTTTCTTAACCTTTTAATATGCTTCTTATTAACTTCTTAGACATAAAGTGACCCCATCTATCAAATGATCCAAGTTCCAAATGGCAAAGAAAAACTGAGAATATGGCACTGAATGACCTTTTAAGATGCTGATGTACATTATTGCTCTTCGCTTTAGGTCAACAGATATAGTCTTTCATTATAGGTCAGGTAAAATCCCTTGAACAAAGAAAAGTGACAATCAACCCTGATTTTCAATGACTTTGACCAAAAGCTGAGGTGACTGAAATGTTATTAGGTCTACTTTCATGGTTTATAGACTGGGGAGATCACAACTATGATTAAGATTATTCTGAATACAAATAAAATCTCTTTCGATTTCTCTCTCATTCATGTGTGTGGGGGGGAGGGGTTTAGTCTATAGTAGTGGTGGGACTTGATTGATATTTGTCGAGTTGATCACAGGTTCTGTAATTAATCAATTGAGATTAATCACATTTAATCGAAAACCTTATAATTGAGCAAATAATCTCTTTTTAAAAACCTTTTTCCTCCTTAATATTGAATAAATAATATAAGAACATATATTTTCTGTTTAATCCATCTATTAAGTTATTAAAGCTTTAGATTTGTTAAAAGTTTATATATTACACCCATAATAACTAACACAATTTCTGTGAGGAACTACTTCTATAGAAGTGTGAACACTAAATATACATTCGTTATACTGTAGCACAATTCCTTCCACCAACTATGGTACAAAAATATATATATCATCAAGACATACGATATTGCGTGTAAACATAAGATAATATTTAATTTCTAATACTGACAGAACTATGAAAACATAAAGATTTGCCTTTAGGAGCTTAATTACCATTCGATGTGCAGCATTTAGTACAATTAAGACATTTAGGCCACTTAGGCTACTGTTTATCATTAAGCCAGTAACTCACACAAATAAATCCACAGTAGCTTAGTAGTCCATACAGATATCAGGTATTCTGTAGAGCAAGTATACCTCGCTGTAGAAAACTTGTATTTGTAGTTTCATATTTTTTTTTTTTTTGCGTTTTTCACCATAAATAGTGTATATATTTTTCTTAACTTTGTTTAACTTACTATAGAGAAAAATAACAAGGAAAATAGATGTTAACAGGGATTGAAAGAAGGATACAGATAAACTGGAGAGAGAGTAGTACATACTGTAACTAGGACTCATCCTATAAAATGCTTTTAGAATAACCAACGTTTAACGCAGCATAAGCAATACCTTGGAAAACAATATAATAAATAAATCATCCCCCTATATCTGCTTTTTAGTGGTGCAAGGTTCAAGATAAGGTTCAAGCTTGGGTGCAGATTATGTCCATAATGTACAGCGGGTTATGCGTTAATCTAATCACGCTTAAAAAAAAAATACAAAAGAATATAATGCCAATAAAAAGAAGTAGAATCATTTTCTATTAGCATTGTTAACTTTGTCAGATGTATTAAAAAATTCAACATTCCCATTACCAAGTTATTTATTGAGAAAGACCATGGGCACAGGCACTTTTTGCTGCAAGGCAACAGTCCTACAAACTGTGCCGCTCCCCGAGTTGATCCATTTAATGGAATTACAGCTACAATTGTATTTTCTTCAGTCTTTTTCTTTCAACAGCAGTTTTCTTTCTGCCATTCCAGATCTGTTTGTTCTACTAATTGTTCTCCAATCAATCGATTCTCCCACCTAGGCTGCAGAGAGTTACCAGATATCTCTTGGCTTCTCATTGGTTTAGGTGGGTGACCATGTCTTTGGATGTTTGCACTTAAACTGCAATCTTATTCTTCAGATTATGCAGTTTTTGACTTATACTGAGCTTAAATTATACATGTATAGACTTTTCTGAGGGCAGGTAATTGCAAAGAATTAAATAACTTAGGGAGATGCTAAATAAAACTGATTAGTATTTACACAGTTTTAGAATGTTTGTAACAAAGTAAAAACGATTTTTTTTTTTCCCCCCCTCTCCTCTATTAAGTTTTACTTGTCGTTAACCACACGAAATAAAGTTTGTGGTTGTAATGAGACAAAATTTGAATTTCAATACTTTTGAAAGGTAATTCAAAACTATACACTTCATGTCCCCCTCCTCAGTGAAAACCAAACAAGTATGCCCAGCTTTGCTTCGTGCCTGCCGTGCAATTTAATGTCACCTACATTTAACTGCAACCTGAAAAAGAACCCCCCCCCCCCAAAAAAAAAATGGTTTTCAACTTACATCATTTCTCCACAGAGCTTCTTTTCCCTTCGTCTACAGATGCTGAAAGTGTTTTAACAACTGGTTTTCATCGAAGCATGCGGTCAGTATGTCGGCATTCTGAGACTAAAAGCTTCACTAATGCAAGCACAGCAGGCTTTGCTCTGGCTGTGCAACACTGATCTAGAAATATACGCTTATCCACACACAACCTCTTTCAATTATTGTCTTTTAAAATGTTTTGTTTTCCTAAACAGACATAAAATAAATATATTTATGAGGCATTAGTTCATCTTCGTGCAGAAAGCTCTTCTGCAGTAATTAAACCTTGACTTCCAGCAAGCTTTGACAGTAAATTCTGTCAGGATTGTATTTATAATGCATCAGTACTTGGAGGGCTAGTAAGAAAAGCCATACTAGCCCTCCATCATCTCTGTTCTTCTTTGGATTGGATCAGTAGACTTTTAGATTAATGCAAAGAAGATTCATACGGGTGAACCTAAAGTGTTTTTCTCTGCGGCTTAGAACAATTTGACAATCTGCAAGGCAGCTCTACAAAATCCTCACCTAAGCAAAGAAAGACAATTCACCAGGGAAATGACTGTGATTTCCAATGAAAATATTTCCAGAGCAGGTAAGCCATAAAATTGCACTTTCCGGTGTTGAAATCTTTGTTCCACAGTTTGCAGGTGGAATTTACATACATTAGGTACAGAAAACAAGTGAGAACCGCAGCCGACGGTGGCATTAAACCCGTTCACTTTCCCCTGCTTTGTCTCTCCTCCCTTCTTTTCCTCTCTCCATCACGCAGACAGCTCCGCTTGTTCGTGGTTGCTCATGTGTGGCAGCAAAGCTGGATGGAAAACATATTGCTCCATCAATCAACTCCCATTCTTTCTCAGCTGCAAACTCAGCTGCGAGACCGTCTGAGGCTGCGAGGCCACACAGAACTGTGCAGACATGCAAAAATGATGAACATTCATGCAAATGCACAGCAGCTACGACTCTATTAAACTGCCTGTACGCCGATGACCTGATCTCTTTCAAATGATTGCACTCCCTCCTCGTGAGAGTCCCTGGGTTGACAGAATCTTAATGTAGAGTGTGTTTGAGTGTCTTCTGTGTTCAAAGAAAACCTCCTTTTCCCCAGTGTAATGCTGGAGGATCAAATGGAAATACGGAGCAAGAAGAAGGAGGAAGATGTCGGTTTTTATCAATGTCTGGCTGATGTATTCAGGAATTGCTGTCTTTCAAGTCTTTGTTTCAGCACAGTAAAAAGTAAAGCACACACAGCACTACCATGCTCACACCAGCACAAACTGAGAGAAAGACTCCCTCTTTTTTTTTTTCTGGGGTACAGCTTTAGCCCCCGGGTGGCCCATATGTCACCTATTTGTACTCCAGAAAGCATTCAGTTAGAAGTCGGGCATGAGCATGAACAGTGGGACACTTACTCATTTTTCTCCAGAGCAAGGACCAGCTGCTCACCTTCCACCTCCACCAAGAGCCTCAGTGATACAGGGTGACTCTGAAGAGACAAGAAATATGAGAAGTGATGTATTTCAGCCAAAGATCCTGGGGTGAAAATCAAATCATTTCCACAGTAAACATTATATAAACAAAGTTATAACTTTACTTATGTACAGTATTATGTCTAAACATCATTCATAATTTCAATAAGAAAAAAAGACTATGCAGTACTTTGCAGAAGTATTAAAGGGATAGTTCGGGATTTTTGACATGAATCTGTATGGCATCCCCATCACCAGTGTCATGCAATCACACTGACTTACCCCTGGCAGCATCCTGTGAGCAGAGTTCTTGTCCAGCTTTGGTCAAGCCGAAAGTAGTCCGGCAGGTTTGCTAGACCCAGCGAAATAAAACGTTTCTGTTGTTTGTGATGCAGACAGCAGCTGCTGCAACTCCGACATCCTCATCAATGGAAAGGTTCTGTATCTCGGGCATTACTAAATCCCACTCGTGGCAACAGTAGCATCCACCTCTGTCTGCATTAATTCGCACTTGAAACAAGTGCACCATGATTTGTCGGCCGCCCTGGATATCGCAGCTCCAGCTGAGGCTCCTGCGGCTCCGGCTTCAGCTTCCATCACTTCTCTGTCCACCCTCTCTCTTTCTGCCCGATCTAACTCCATTTGTCGAAGTTCATCGTCAGTGTACTCGGGTTCATAAAGATATCCCTTTGGCTCTAAGTGGAAGTCGATGTTTTCCTCGTCGCTCTCGTAGTCAGACATCTTCCCCAGTAGTAAACAATCGCGAATCACACAGGTAGGCCCTTAACCTGACAACAGCCAGATGCATGCCTCGCTCCGCCCAGCTAGGAGCTAGGCGGAGCGAGACATGCATCTGGCTGTTGTCAGGTTAGTAGGCCCTAGCTGTCAGGTCATGGTGTCGCGCGCACTGATACGAACAGAGAGAAAATAGGACCAAGTGATAACGACGTGTGACTTTTTCCACTACAATGTTTTTGGGATGCAAAAATATCACTCTTTTGAACACATAATGTTTTGGGAAGAGAAACGTTTTATTTCGCTGGGTCTAGCAAACCTGCCGGACTACTTTCGGCTTGACCAAAGCTGGACGAGAACTCTGCTCACAGGACGCTGCCAGGGGTAAGTCAGTGTGATTGCATGACACTGGTGATGGGGATGCCATACAGATTCATGTCAAAAATCCCAAACTATCCCTTTAAACCCATTTCTAGCTTTTTTATATTTTGTCATGTTAGTAATGCAATCACGGTTATTTAGAGGGCTAAACTAAAACCAAGCACCTCATAACTTTAAAATGGAAGAAATATGGTGCAAATAATCTTAAATCTGTGACAGGCATTTAAATTGAACCCCTCTAAATGAATACTTTGTAGAACCGTAATATTTTATGATTGCAGCTGCAACTGTCTGCAGCAGCTTAACATATCTACAGAGAGCATTTTAAAAAAAATTTTCATGAGGTAAAGCGGAGTCAAATATGCTGTCAAGTGCTCCCAAATATTACTATTGTTTTCGCTGTTCTTTGATTTAGGTGAAGGATAATGTAAAACATGACTATGCTTTAAGCCCCACCACCCCACACACAGACTGTAGCTCTGGTCGTATATTTTAGGTTTATTGTACTCTAACCAAGTGCTGAAGATTCCTTAAGAGGTCCTCCCAACACCTCCACAGCCTACTGTATAAGATTTCTGTTTCTCTTCCCATACTGCCATGTACGTAGCTCCATCTATCCTCCCATAATCGACGACCGGCTTTTCTGTACCTGCTTAACAAAACATCTCCTCAGTAAGATGCTGACACCTCTATTTTTGATCAGTATTTGGTACCATTCCATTTCTGTCACGTTTTATCCCTTCTGGGGTCGCAAAGGGTGCTGGTGCCTATCTCCAGCTGTCTACGGGCAAGAGGCAGGATACATCCTGGACAGATCGCCAGTCTACTGCAAGGCACCACAGAGAGAAACAGGACAAACAACCACTCACACACACACACACACACTCACACCTAAGGGGCCTTTAGATAGGCCATTTAATCTAACAGTCATGTTTTTGGACTATGGAAGGAAGCCGGTGTACCCGGAGAGAACAGATACATGCTCAGGGAGAACATGAAAACTCCATGCAGAAAAACCCCAGGCTGGGAATGAAACCCGGAACCTTTTTGCTGCAAGGCAGCAGTGCTACACATTGCACCACTGAGTGCTTAGAAGATCTAGGTAATAAAACTCTAAACTCCTGTATCTTTAAAGGAACAAGATAAGGTTTTTGCAGGAGACCAGGGTCGTAAAATCTACTCCAG